TTCAGATCTTATCTAGATGGCCAGAGTTACTTTGTCACCATTGGTAATCATGAATCTGATAGGGTGGCTATGACATGCGGAGTTCCACAGGGATCAGTTCTCGGACCGATTCTGTTCAATCTCTATATGCTACCTCTGGGCCAAATTTTACAGAACAACAACATTAACTACCACAGCTATGCTGATGATACTCAAATATATATGGCTCTCGAACCGTATGACAACAGCTCAATAGACTCTCTGTGTCACTGTATAGAGCACATAAATACCTGAATGAACCAAAATTGTCTACAATTAAACCAAGATAAAACTGAGATTATTGTGTTTGGCAACAAAAATAAAAGAACAAGTATTAGTAAAGAGCTGGATTCTCGGGTCCTTAAAACCAGCGATCAAGTGTGTAATCTTAGTGTTCTGATAGACTCAGACCTCACATTTAACAGTCATATCAAAGCGGTCACCAAAACAGCATTCTATCATCTAAAAAATATAGCCAGAATCAAAGGCTTGGTGTCCCAAATAGATCAAGAGAAGCTCATCCATGCTTTTATCTCTAGTAGGGTTGACTACTGTAATGGCCTCTTAACAGGACTCCCGAAAAAGACTGTAAAACAGCTGCAGCTCATTCAGAATGCAGCTGATAGAACGTTAACCAGGACCAAGAGAACGGAGCACATCACTCCGGTTCTTAAATCTTTACATTGGCTTCCAGTCAGTTACAGAATTGATTTCAAAGTGGTACTTTTAGTTTATAAATCTTTGAATGGTTTAGGACCCAAGTACATGTCTGATATGTTTGAATAATATAAACCGAGCAGGGCTCTTAGATCCATGAACACAGGTCAGCTAGTACAGCCCAGAGCCCAAACTAAACATGGAGAAGCTGCGTTTAGCACTTATGCTGTACACAACTGGAATAAACTACCAGAAGATCTTAGATGTGCCCCAAACGTATCCATTTTTAAATCCAGGTTAAAAACACTTCTCTTTTCACGTGCCTACGACTGAGCACTTAAACTTAACCACATTGTTTAGCCTTATAGCTTCCTATGTTTTTAAACTTTATGTTTTTTAATTTTTTTTATTGTATTTTCATTATTATGATGTTTTCATTATTTTTGATAAACATCTTTGTAAGCACATTGAATTGCTTCGATGTATGAATTGTGCTATATAAATAAATGTGCTTGCTTGCTATACATGTTAGAATCACCTTTGGCAGCGATTACAGCCGTGTGTCTTTCTGGGTAAGTCTCCTAGAGCTTTGCACACCTGGATTGTACAATATTTGCACATAATTATTAAAAAAATTATTCAAGCTCTGTCAAGTTTGTTGTTGAACATAGCTAGACAGCCATTTTCAAGTCTTGCCATATATTTTCAAGCTGATTTAAGTCAAAACTGTAAATAGGCCGCTCAAGATCATTCAATGTCGTCTTGGTAAGCAACTGTCTCCCGGTGTCTGTAGGAAAGCAGACTGAACCAGGTTTTCCTCTAGGATTTTTCCTGTGTTTAGCTCTATTCTGTTTCTTTTTATAAAAACAAAAACTCCCTAGTCCTTGCCGATGACAAACATACCCATAACATGATGCAGCCACCATCATGCTTGAAAATGGGATGTAGCTCAGTTGGTAGAGCATGGCGTTTGCAACGCCAGGGTTGTGGGTTCGATTCCCATGGGGGGCCAGTATGAAAAAATAAAAAAATTATGTATGCACTCACTGTAAGTCGCTCTGGATAAGAGCGTCTGCTAAATGACTAAAATGTAAAATGTAAAATATGAAGAGTGGTACTCAGTGATGTGTTGAGTTGGATTTGCCCCAAACATAATACAAAGTTATGTCCTGAATACATAACTTTGTATTCAGGACATAACGTTTATTTCTTTGCCACATTTTTTGGAGTTTTACTTTAGTGCCTCATTGCAAACAGGATGCATGTTTTGGAATATTTTTTATCTGTACAGGCTTCCTTCATTTCACTCTGTCCTTTAGGTTAGTATTGTGCAGTAACTACAATGTTGTTGATTCATCCTCAGTTTTCTCCTATCACAGCCGTTAAACTCTGTAACTGTTTTAAAGTCACCATCAGCCTCATGGTGAAATCCCTGAGTGGTTTCCTTCCTCTCCGGCAACTGAGTTAGAAAGAACCCCTGTAGCTTTGTAGTGACTGGGTGTATTGATACACCATCCAAAGTGTAATTAATAACTTATTTTACCAATCTACCAATAGGTGCTCTTCTTTGCGAGGCATTGGAAAGCCTCCCTGGTTTTTGTGGTTGAATCTGTGTTTGAAATTCACTGCTCGACTGCGGGACCTTACAGATAATTGTATGTGTGGGGTACAAAGATGATGTAGTCATTCAAAAATCATGTTAAACATTATTGCACACAGAGTGAGTCCATGCAACTTATTATGTGAATTAAGCAAATCTTTACTCCTGAATTTATTTAGGCTTACCATAACAAAGGGGTTGAATACTTATTGACTCAAGACATTTCAGCTTTTCATTTTTTATTCATATGTGACAAATTCTAAAAACATAATTCCACTTTGACATTATGGTGTATTGTGTGTAGGCCAGTGATACAAAATCTCAATTTAATCCATTTTAAATTCAGGCTGTAACACAACAAAATGTGGAAAAAGTTGAAGGGTTTGAATACTTTCTGAAGACACTGTAGGTAAAGACCAGAGAAAAGCTGTGCAGTATCCAAGACACCTACTAGGTTAAATGACCCATAGAATAAAGAGTTATTGAACAACATATCTATCCATAGATCATATATTGCATTGGAATCTACAAAGCAGTAAATTCCACAATAATTTGGTGGAATATGAAGATAACAGTTTGAATAGTTTTGGTAGCGCTTTACCTTTAAGACATACTTCGGAACTTTGGCAACTACTAAGTATTTTTTAAACCTCCTGCTTTGGGCTGGATGTGTCAATGTGTAGTTCATACATACATAATCTATGAGTAGAATTACTGTCTTACCTCAATTAGCCACGACATCCATGGCCGCTGGAGGATGTTTAGTGGTGGGGCTGCTGAGATAATGTTTTTCTCTCCGCTCTGTTGAGGACTATTTTTGTCCACTCAGACAGGAGTAATAAAGGTCCAGTGAACAAATGTTTTATTATTTTTACATATTTGTTAAAATTCTGACTTATCAGAATGGCGGCAACCCGGTTACCGAGATTTACCACCCAAAACCACTCCCTTTTCCCGGGATAAATAACTGCGAGAAACCGGTAAATTATAATACATTATTTATATGAACAGCATGACGTAAAATGGAATGTAACTGTTAAATGATATGTGATGTCTAAATCTGGCTTCTCTACGGCCTTCTCTCTGAGTGATGAATCACCAACGCTCAGGGTGGGGACAGACAGCCCATCTCAGTATGGAGCACAGTTCACAATGCATGTAGACCTATCATCTCATCATGGTAAAAACATTTATTGTGACAGGCAGGTAAGCCTCCATTTGCTGCAGCATAGAATATGCAACAGTAATATAAAGACCGAATGCGTGTCTATTTTACACATCTCCATCTGGCTTTTGGGGTCACATAATTTTTTTCTGGTAAAGATATATATTTTTTTCAATTGCAGATGCATGTATATGCTGTATAATGCCTTTGAATAACACTTCCGGTTTTGGCAGGAAATAGCGAGTTACCCGGGAGAAAAGTGATTTATTCTCTATTTTATTTTATTTTACCTTTATTTAACTAGGCAAGTCAGTTAAGAACAAATTCTTATTTACAATGACGGCCTACACCGGCCAAACCCGGACGACGCTGGGCCAATTGTGCGCCGCCCTATGGGACTCCCAATCACGGCCGGTTGTGATACAGCCTGGAATCGAACCAGGGGGTCTGTAGTGACGCCTCAAGCACTGAGATGCAGTGCCTGGAATATTTGTAAAATACCAGGAAAATATTAAACCCTAGTGCTGCAGCACCCTCAGCACCCGTATTTCTCACGGCTATGATGACATCCCTAGTTTGAAAGTGACTGTTTTTCTGGAAGCTGTGCTACGCCATTTCCCCTAGCAATTTGAGTTCTAGACAATGAGCTCCAGCCCCTTTCCATTTGAGTGACAGCTAGCAAGATGCAGAGCGAGAGTGAGAGAGAGACAGAGCGAGAGAGAGAGAGAGAGAGAGAGAGAGAGCAATGACGTGGTGCACATATCTGCACATATGTGACTTAGTACACCATTTTTGGGGACCACTTTTGGCTCATGAGTGCTACTTTCAGAACTACTGGCTAAAAAGTAGACGAAAGTACCAGAGAATCTATTTAATTGGTAACACTTTACATTAAGGTGTACGTAAAATTATTTACTAAAGGTTTATAAGTAGTTTATAAACCATTCGTTTTTAGTTTATAGACAGTTATAAACAGTTAACACATTGGTTAAAATTGTGCAGTCATGTAAGCTATCTTTAAACAGTTTATTAACAACTTATAAATGTATATAATTATACCTTAATGTAAAGTGTTACCCAATAAAGTTTACAAAATGATTCTAAACATGAAGAAATATCTGAGCTCGAAGTACAGTAGATGGGCTTGTATGTGCGGTACCTGAGGTCAAGTTATTTTTATCGCATTCCATTCAAATGTCTGTAAATGAGTGGGAAGATCATTTACAGATTAATTAAAAACATTTATTTTTCATGTTTCTTTGGAGACTTTGCATTTCTTATCAGTAGTAGTAAGTTTCACAGTAGTTTGTGATTCTGCCCCATTGTAGTAGTCACAGCACATACAGTAATATGACAGAATTTAAGATTGAGTACTCGTCAAATTTTCATCATCAACAAACCACTACCTCTCTTATTTACAGCAGAAATCCAAACAATTAGATCATAAAGCTCCATCAGTATCAATTAGGCATAGAAATGCACACATGGAAACAGAATTACAGGTGAGCCTCTATTCTACCAAACACTCTATGTGCATCAACTCATATGATTTCCTTGAAGTCAATCATCATCCATATCCTCTGTCATGGGTTCCGGTGGGAGCGTGGTTCTGTTCCTGGGGCTTCTCTTGCGGTGTCGTCGAAGCCGGGCCTCGGAGAACCAGTTGGCGAGGGTCATGGTGACACGGATGAGGCCCAGGTTGATGCAGTGTACCTCGGAGGTGACAGGGATGTCCGAGAAGAGGGCGTGATCCCTACATAGTAGGGTAGAGCTGTCTCTGCTCTCAAAGTCTCGGACCACGTTCAGGATCTCCTGGCGCTCCGCCTGACGTATCATCCCCCGCACGTTTAGCAGGGTGGAGATGTGCTTCTTCCTGCGGGAGGATGAGGGAGAGAGAGAGAGGAAAGAGAGGGAGGGAAGACAGAGCCCGGTGTTGGTGTGTTTCGGTGGTTTCAGGCAGCTTCATGATTCAATCATGTTGTAGAGCAAAGGACCATGACTTATTATGTTCAGTTGATCTATTGATAAAAAAGTAATTATATTTCACCCCAACTGGACATATGGGGGAGTCTCAGTGGTGGACGGCAGACTTTGATCTCTGAAAATACAAGCGGTGAGTAAGAAAACAAAAGAGTGCTGCTTGCAGGGACTCCTTGTGCCTGAGTGAGTTAACATGTGTCCAGGTCGTCTTGACCTGCTCCTGCTCCCTCCTTTGATTCCAGAGCGTGGCACCAGACTGTGTCCCGCAGGGTGGCAGGAACAGGAAGTACTCTGCAGCAGCTTCCCGTCTGGCTGGCCACGGGTCATGCGTCACACATTGGTTACGCTGCCAGCTAGCCAGCCATCAGCTGACCCCACGAAACACACAAACAACAAGGGGCCTGGGACCTTGTGGGACCCTCCAGCCTCTGTCACTCAAAACAGCCCCTTTGTCCTCTCCAAGAATAAACCCTTTACACTCATGGGAATTGGCCTATATGGATAGGGCTAAATTGAAATGTTTCTTACAGAAGAAATATGAAGCATGGTAGCAATTGAAAGGGAACAGTTTGGAGAGTTTGGGAAAATTATTAGGACAAAAGGTGAGGACGCAACAGTTCACCTACACAAGACTGAATCCAAACATTACACTGTTGATTTTATGTGCATTTTACATTTACTGTACTTTTCGTCGCATTTGTTGATAACGATATCTGACAATACTCTGGATACATTCAGTAATATGATAAGAATATTCCTGGAAAATGTGGGGTAGGTGCAACATAAGACAAAACAAATTACAAGGGTTTGAGTGAGAGGACTAACTGGTGTCTCTAAGTGGCCACACACCTCTCCGAAGTGTGCAAAGTTCCTAAGTCATTTCAATGCACTTATGACTCAAAGTAGAGTCTTCAACTATAAGGTGCTTTTTTTTGCTCTCCTAGCTGTGCCGTTGAGGAACTAGAGCGAGCACAAATGTAGTTGTTTTGTTTGGAACACAACCCTGCATCCCCGCCATCACACAATTACTGTTGTTGTTGTTTATGCTATCCAAGAACGGTCCATTATAAATTGCAATCTGGGCCAGGTGGGCATCATTTGAAAGCTTGTTCTTTTGCCAACATGACTAGCTAGGTTATAAAATACGATATTACAGTGTTAGGCTTTCACAATGCAATTCAGGGAAACATAATTTTGGTGCGTGATCCGTGCTACTTTTCTTCACAATAGACAAACATATCTACTCATTCTGTTCAGAACAAACCAGGGTATGACGCCATGTCATCCTGTAACTGTACATCAAACATAATGATCATAAACGTTGACGCTGTATATGACATTACTTTTATGATATGGAAATATGAAGTGCACATTTGGAATCACGGGTGTTTGGCTTGCTTGTATGATATCAAAGCGGTATTTATTATAATCCTCAACATCTCATCTTTCAAAATACATAGAGTCCTCTTAATTTACAGCATTTCCCTCACTCAGACAACAGAACATTTGCAAAAGTTGCCCAATTAGTGGGAGGGATGCGGGCAACTTCTTGTTGTGCAAGGTGATCAAGTTCAGAACGGCTGTCAGTCAAAACTCATACAGCGTTGTTAAGCGCAGAGCCAGAGCTCTGACGTCATGTATAGCTTGTTACTTTACAGCCACTGCGTTCCAATTTAGCCATTTATCAGTGCCCAAATTTGCCATTTTCAACCAGTATACAGGTAGGAGTGTAAAGGGTTAATAATGGTATGTTCCCATGCTTATTTCCCTTGTTTTGACCCATTGTGTCAAAAGAAAGTCTATACATGGAATTAAATTTGGCTACCTTTATCCACACGTCAAAAACAGCACTTTGTGAAACTGCACCGTGGCATGTAGGTTCTGGGAACTGTGGCATAGAGTATATAGGAAATGGCAACCAATTAATGACACTTGCCAAATTTGTTCACTGTATACCATTATTTTCCAACTCTGGACTTTCAAAACATTGCGCTATACTGTATTCTCCAAAATTATGAAAACCCTTACCGTATGTCTGGAAACTCTTTCACAAGAACAGCAACCTCCATCTGGATGGATGGAGTGTCCTCCAGGAGAATGATATCAGCCAGGTGAGCGAGAACACTGTCCAGCCAAGAGGATCCTGACTCCTGAGAGTGGAAATATTATATAAGATAAGTAATCATAAAAATGTGTAAAACAATTGACATGGACAAGTTGCATAAGTACAAAGGTCAATCATCTCAGTTGTCCATCAGCCATCAACAGATAGGCTCAATCCATAATTTTCTGACACAAAAGCTCTGTGTGGACATACCCATAGACATTAACACCAACATCATGCACCAAAATCATCCATCAAGATTTGTAGTCCTACATTCTTAGAATAAAAGGTACTATCTAGGACCATAAAGGGTTATTTGGGTTTACAAAACAGTTGTTGGGAGTGTTAAGCTAAATCATCTTATCGTGTTCAGATAGTTCTTTGTGGTCATTACGACCGTAAATCAGAGGGATGACTGACCAGGTCTTTAAAGAGCCCTTTGAGCTGCTTGGCCTCGTCCTGCAGTCGGAACGCCATCCTCTTCCTCATCTTCGATGATGTGCAGATGACCCGTCCTCGCATGATCGCACGCACATACTCCACCAGAACCCGCCTGTGTACCTCCTCCACCAGTATCTGTCAATCAAACAGTCAACCACTCAAACATTCAGTCCCTCAATCGCAACATAACTGTTGATAAACTAAACATATTGGGATAGAAAGGGCAAATATTTATCGCAACATGTTATCATGTGTTAGGTATGTGGTCATTGGTGGATACCTGATAAGGTGGGCAGTCCATTCTTCTGAACTTCTTAAAGTGTTGTTTGACGCTTGCTTCGATGGCCTCAAAGGCCTCAGTGTTGTTTAGCCACTTCCTCTTCACCAGCTTGTCAAAGAACGGCTGGAACAGAAATACACAGCTTTGACTCACATGAAGTTGACTCACATTATGCTCCTATTGCAAAATGCACATCTGTGTTAACGTTAGAGCATGTGTGTTTGTGTTTGATCAGTCATGTATGAGTGTGGAATTGGCAAGTTGTTTATTGGGGAAGGACTGTTTAGATACATTTATGTTTTATGTCGATAAATTGTAAGGAAACATTTATTTGCGCCCTAACAAAGGAAGATACATTTTAAAAGCACATTGCCTCACCCTGATGTGCTCAAATAGTCTTTCCGTCAGAACTCTCACTGATTGGTTAACAATCCTGTCCAGGGAGGAGTTAGCTCTCTGTGTGGACTCCTCACTGCTCTGTGGGTCACACTGCCTGCAACGCTGTACAAAGGATCTACACAAAAAGTGGAATGCAAACACTGTTGGTGAGTTCAGGTAGTGTCAGAATGATCTGAAACTCGTATTTCTGACATGGAAAAAACATTGAACCATTTACAACCTTAATAATGTGGATAACCTCGTTTGACCATGTTGTCTCTTTGTCAACAACAGTTGGTGCGTGATCAATAATATTAAGGAAGTCTCAAGGTTCTGCTTGCCTGAGTTAGAATACCTCATGATAAGCTGTATACCACACTATTTACCAAGAGAGCTTTCATCTATATTTTCCGTAGCTGTCTATTTACCACCACAGACCGATTCTGGCACTAAGACCTCACCCAACGAGCTGTATAGGGCCAGAAGCAAACAAGAAAATGCTCATCCAGATGCGGTGCTCCTAATGGCTGGGGACTTGCAGGGAAACTGAAATCCGTTTTACCTCATTTCTACCAGCATGTCTCAGGCAAAAAAACACACAGAGGCGCATGCAAAGCTCTCCCTCGCCCTGCATTTGTCAAATCTGACCATAACGCCATCCTCTTCATTCCTGCTTACAAGCAAAAACTCAAACAGGAAGTACCAGTGATGTGCTCAATATGGAAGTGATCCGATGAAGCGGACGCTAAGCTACAGGACTGTTTCACTAGCACAGATTAGAATATGTTCCGGGATTCATCCGATGGCATTGAGGAGTTTACCACATCAGTCACCGGCTTCAATAGTCCCCACAGTGACGTTACATGCATACCTTAACCAAAAGCCATGGATTACAGGCAACATCTGCACTGAGCTAAAGGCTAGAGCTCCTGCTTTCAAGGAGCAGGACACAAATCCGAATGCTTATAAGAAATCCCCCTACAGCCTCCGACAAACCATCAAACTGGCAAAGTGTCAATACAGGACAAAGATCGAATCCTACTACACCGGCTCTGACCCTCATCTGATGTGGCTGCAGGGACAGACGGATTACCAGGATGCGTACTCAGAGCATGCGCTGACCAGCTGGCAAGCGTCTTCACAGACACTTTCAACCTCTCCCTGACCCAGTCTGTAATACCCATATGTTTCAAGCAGACCACCATAGTCCACATGCCCAAGAACGCCAAGGTAACCTGTCTAAATGACTCGCCGCATAACACTCACATCTGTAGCCATGAAATGCTTTGAAAGTGTGGTCATGGCTCACATCAACACCATCATCCCAGATACCCTGGACCCACTCCAATTCGCATACCGCCCCAACAGATCCACAGGTGATGCAATCTCTATTGCACTCCACACTGCCCTTTCCCACCTGGACAAAAATAACACCTATGTGAGAATGCTGTTCATTGACTACATAGTGCCCTCCAAGCTCATCACTAAACTAAGGACCCTGGGATAAAACACCTCCCTCTGCAATTGGATACTGGACTTTCTGACAAGGTTAGGCAAAAACATCTGCCACACTGACCCTCAACACAGGGTCCTCCTGTCATTAGCCCCCACCTGTACTCCCTGTTCACCCACGACTGTGTGGCCGCACACGACTCCAACACCATCATTAAGTTCGCCGACAACACGACGGTGGTGGGCCTGATCACCGACTACGATGAGACAGCCTAGAGGGAGGAAGTAAGAGACATGGCAGTGTGGTGCCAGGACAACAACCTCTCCCTCAACGACAGCAAGGCAAATGAGCTGATCGTGGACTACAGGAAACAGAGGGCAGAGCACGTCAAGTTCCTCTGATAATGACCTATCATGGTCCAAACACACCAACACAGTCGTGAAAAGGGCACGACAATGCCTCTTCCCCCTCAGGAGGGTGAAGAGATTTGGCATTGGCCCTCAGATCCTCGAAAAGTTCTACAGCTGCACCATTGAGAGCATCTTGACTGGCTGATTCACCACTTGGTATGGCAACTAATCAGCACCCGACAGCAAGGCGCTACAGAGGGTAGTGCGTATGGCCCAGTACATCACTGGGGCCGAGCTCCCTGTCATCCAGGAACTCTATACCATGCGGTGTCAGAGGAAGGCCCTAAAAATTACAGTTACAGTTAATCAAATGGCTACCCAGACTTTCTGCTTTTCACCCCTACCTACATGTGCATAGTACTTCAATCAATCACCTAACCAAACCTATATGTACATATTACCTCAATCATTCACCCCAACTACCTCGTACCCCAGTACACTGACTCGGTACCGTTACTCCTTGTATATGTTCTAAAATGTAAAATGTATATAGCCTTGTTATTGTTATTTTCTTGTGTTATTTTCTTGTGTTACAATTTTTTTTTTTTTATCTATTTGCTAATTGTCTTACTTTTTAACTACATTGTTGGGAAAGGGCTTGTAAGTAAGCATTTCATGGTAAAGTCTACACTTGTTGTACTCGGCGCATGTGATAATTAAAATGTAACTTGTCAACTTTAGCAAGATAGCAAACTAACTAAATTGTGAGCAATGTTAGCTAGCTAACTGGATTAACTCGCTAACTCCTTGATCGTTCTCTTGTTTCATTTACCACTTCACCAACTGGAATATACAAGTTTCTGATGAGCATTTGAATGGAGCATCAGTTAACACAGTTGCCACAGGAGATTACTTCTCTGTCTTGGTATCTACCTGAGAGGCGGGCAGCAGTTGACCAGAGCGATGGTCCTGGAAACGTATCCATCACCCCGGTCCCCAAACTCAGCCTGGGTCTCATGGAACATCTCCACCTTTCTCTGGAAACTGGACACAGTAACATTATAAAATTAAATCCATATATTGATTCACATGGAGGTTGTTGATTGAACTCATTGTCCATGTCTTTATAAGCACATCTTCTCCTCACCTGTATAGGAAGTCAGACAGTCCATTGAGATTGCAACGGGCCACCCTGGCCCCCAGAAACTGGCTTACAGCTGTGGATCTGTCCAGGTCGACCTTCAGTCTCTGTAACAACCACACACAGACACTGATCAGAGCAGGAACTTCAAAATCCAACCATCCGAAATAGGTCACTCCTACATTAATGGGAGATTTACAAATGTCTTAGAGTTGTTTGCCACAATGTCCAATGGTGACCTACATATCTACTGTAGGTCACCTGAGTGATAATGTGACAGACCTGGATGACAGAGCGGGCCAGATTGGACTGGTACTCTTCTATATGCAGCGTTTGGGCCCACCGTCTCTCCTCCTCATCCAGAACCTGAGTGAGCTCTGTGGACACCTTCTCCTGCAATAAACAACAGAACACACACAACCATAAAGTCCATTGCCTACCCAAGAGACAAGTATGGGCAGTTTCATTACTACTAGATTAGCGCCAGAACCATTACCTCGGTAAATGGGAATTATTTCCCCTGACAGTGTTCAGTATTAAATGGGCAATTCCACCACTTTTCAACCTAATTTTCATTATCTCCATCACAGTACCAGTCTCTACATATGTGAAAATGGCGCATGTCTATGTATTGTAGAAAGATATATGAAGTAAAAAAGTTCTACCCGATGACATCATCAAAAGTCAAAACATTTTAAAAACAATGATTTTCAAACACTATGTGATTTGCGGTGACTTGGGGTGCAAGAAAATGTCCTCCAAATAAAATGAAATAAAATTGTATTTGTCACATGGGCCGAATACAACGGGTGTAGACTTAACCGTGAAATGCTTGCTTATGAGCCCTTCCCAACAATGCAGAGTTAAAATGTATAATAAAAAGAAAAATAGTAACACAAGAGGAATAAAATGCACAAGAATGGAGCTATATACAGGGAGTACCAGTACCAGATCAATGTGCAGGGGTATGAGGTATTTGAGGTAGATATGTACATGAAGGCAGGGTAAAGTGACTAGAAACACGTTTTGAAAATCACAGTTTTTCTTACTTTTAATCCTACCCCTGTGATGTAACAGAGAAGCATTTTTTAGTACCTTTCTTCTTATCTTTTTAACCACAGATCAAAGAGATGCGACATTTTCACACATGTAGACACTAGTATAGTGCTGGAGATAATGAATATGAGGTTGAATTGCACTTTAAAAGCAGTGTGATTTTACCCTGACAGTGTTCAGGCAGTCCTGTTCCAGTTGGTCCACTGTGTCTTGGTGCAGTAGGGGTTCCAGAGGGGAGTAGTTAATCGGGGTTTTCATGCCAACGGTGCCCAGGACGTCTCTTAAAAATACGATAGGGAGAGTGAGGAAGAGAAAATATGTGTCACTATCCAGTCAAGTCTCACATTTCAGATCTGATCGAATACCTGTAAAAATCTATGTTAATATTCACTTACATGGACTTCTTGATGTTCTTATCTTATATAAAAATTGTTTGTCCCCATAGGAGAACCCTTTCTGGTTCCAGGTAGAACCCTTTGGTGGTGAAACAGGTTCTACTAAGAATGTATAACATTGTATTAGTGAAAGGGTTCCACTGGAACCAAAAATGGTTAATGGGCGCATGAGTTGTAAGGCTAACGTAGCCGACTGTAGACGGATGTCGACAAGAGAAGTCAGGGGAGGTGCATCTGCGACAGCCGAAAATGTCGAACACTGTTGTGGTTTTCCTACAGCAAGGCTTAGATGAACATGGCAGTATCAACATAGTTGCCATTGTTTATGAACGTTTTTCTTTATAATGTCAAAATAAGCATGTATAACCCCCAGATCACACACTCACAAACTGAAATCATGTGTGTACATTGTACAATCAATTGGTGAGAGAGAGGTCTCAAATATCACATTCATTTCTGAACTCTTGTCCAAAGGACCTGTACATCCATGAATGTGTTTCTATTGTAGTATCTGAAAGTCTATGATTTTGCTGACGTTTGCAAATGGTGTGATAGATGAACTTTACTCTGCTTTGCTGAAACATCTGGAAAGCATTACTACATAGGCTTCTTGGAATAGAGGACATTTGGAGATATGTGGAGGCCAGGGATTGGTCTATCAAAAACCAGCCATCTTATGTTACATAGGATATAAATACCATGTTTTGAACAAAGGACGGGGGAATAACATATTAGAGATTGGGTCAGTTGTTCTCCGGATTTCTGCAGGAGTCTGTAAATTGATACTGTAATCTTTGATGTAATAAACCATTATAATCAAGGACAGTGTCAGCGGATTTCTTGTCATCACAGCATATCAGCATTGTTGTCTTGACACCACAGAATGGCGACAAGGATTTGGGACGTGTTGCGTCTTTTCTCAGCATTCCATTCATGGGCTACGAAGTGACTCCCGCTCAAGAGGCATGCAGATACGGTGAGCTATCTCACAACTTTGGGCGCTGGTCAGTTTGTGTGCTGTGTGTGTGCGTTGAGGAGATGTACCGTCAAAGGACTTGTGTGTGCGCTTTGCTGTTATTTGCTGTGTGATGAGAATCCGTTCTAAATTTCTAAATTTGTTTGCGTTGGGAACAACGCAAACAGGGGGGAGTGTCTATAGGAATTGTTAACACTGGGCACACAGATATTTGGCTTGAATAAAATTAAAAGGAGTGTCCAGGAATAGCATGAAAGAATAAGGCCAGGAAATAAGGAAAAAGTATACTTTTAGGACGTCGCTGATTTAAGGAAGCCCTCAAACGAGGCGATCATTAAGATGGGCCATAAATCCTAGGAGAGTCACTAGGTTGACTTTCGGGTCAGTTCTGGGAACTGTGAGTTTGTGGAAGATACATTTAATTGTACATTACCTCTCGACATATAGTTGACGAGGTATGTGTTCGAAGTAACCTCTCATTGAATATCTGCAACTCGAGGTAGCAGAAATTTAGGAAGGAACAATGAGAAATAAGGAGCGACGGTAGCATGCTTAGTGTATTGTATGAACGGATGCATTCTTGTTGAATTGTGTGAGTGAGAGAGCCTATGTGTGTGTGTAAATGGGGAGGTCTCTGCTGTGTGTCGACTAAGGCTATGACAACAGGGGTTTTAGTTTTTTGTTAGGAAATATGTTAGTTAAGCTTAAAACCTTATATGAGTCTCCATTAGCGAGAACGTTTAATAATTGTTAAAAAATTATGAGCCCCTGGGAGGACGATTATTTGTAATGGATAAGAAAATAACTATATATCTGCAGATTAGAATAAGTGAAGATAAGAAACTTCGAAGTAGGATTTGTGTTCTATGTTCTGTGTTGGTTTGTGAGTTTTGTTAAGTGTTACTGTTTGTCTGTGTTGGAAATAACGGAGGGACAGCTGGTCTGTCTGCTTTCTGTTGTTTAGCTTGGAGAGAGCTGCTTGGGAGAACTCCTCTCGCTTTGAAATCGCACTGGTGAATGAGCTGCGCATGCATGGGATTTTATGAGTTTAGAGTTACGTAGAGCAAATATGCCACTCCCCTGCCTGCACTGAGCTGCTGTGACACGCAGACTTAGTGCTGCAGGGATGTGAAAAGGGAGGAGACTTTGAATACACACGGATAAAGTATTCTGTTTGATAAGTGGCTGTTGCTTGACTATGAAACTATTTGATTGAGATCTATTGAATTTATAAATGAGAGATATGTTGACAGATTAAAAATAATAATTAAATAAATAAATAAAATAAAATGTTATTGCGCTATTTATAATATTCCTGAGTTCAGCTGTTTGCTTATTTCTTAGCACGAATGTGAACATAGGTATGCATGAAATACTAAATTGTTGTCTGTTTCCTTTGTTCTCCTGTCATGTGAGAGACAAGAAGGAGGAGACAGAGAGAGAGAGAGAGAGAGGAGGTGCTGACCAGTGCGTCACGCGACAGTGTGTGCTGCTCCGGATCCAGTCCAATCAAGGCCAGTACTGTTCTGTTCACAAACTTACTTTCCCATACAGGATATTGTGTGTACCTAGCATATTTCATGTTGTGACAATTTAACAGGGACTTGGCAACAGACTGATCAATTGATGTAATTAAGAATTGCACATTGGAGTTTTTTGTGCATGGGTTGGTTTGATTAGAGTTGTGTTGGAAATCCAGCACTGACATTACTCTGTAAAATTAAGGTAATTGGGTGCTTATTAAGCAATTGGTTTGTGGGTGCTGTAGTGTTGCTGGATTACAGGTCTTTCTTTTTTGGATTGCTCTGAAGTTGACTAGTTTCCTTTACTTTTCCTGATCGGATGTGGTAAGATTGCCACTAATCAATAATTTGGTAAAATAAAAATTAAATAAAAAAGATTTAATAAATTAATTTATATATATTATATATATATATATAATAAAATATATATCTTGATAAATTAATTAATTGATTAATTAATTAATTAATTAATTAATTAAAATTTTAAAAAAAGATTGGAGGGATTGATAAACAACATAGCTAAAAGTTTTTGGGGTTTACAAATGTATTATTTAAAATAGTAATAATAAAATAATTCACAATAAAGGAATATAAAAGAGTTGTTACAATGGGGAAAAAGGACATCAAAACTACAAAAGTAATTACTCCTGTTGATGTAGTACAAAATAGTAATCCTCTAGTTAATGGTATTGCAAGGTTATCTGGAAAATGGAATAAACGTTGGCCTGACATTGAACAACCATGGCCAGTGGAAGGGACTCTTAAACCAGACGTCATCAACATAATAAAAGTGCTTGTGTCGACTTATAAGGCAGATCAAAAGAAGGGGGAAAAAGGGGAACAACGTAAAGAAAAGAGACAAAGAGAGCTGGGTGTTCTTAAGCTGTTTGAAAATGAAGGACAAAAACTGATAAAAAAAGTAGAGTTGAAGGACGTCTATCCTCAGCTTCCAGTGATCATTCAGGAGGGTGATTATTGCATTAGAGATGAAGATGAACAAATAATAGAGAGAGGACAAGCAGAAACGACCATAAAGATGAATCCAAACTCCAAAAGTAAGAAGAAAACGAGATGTCTGGAAACTAAGGGTGGAGTGAGGTTCAGGAGGATGGAACTTGAAGATGATGATGATGATGATCAGAGTGATTCAGAAGAGAATCATGGGTGGATATGACCCTGTGATCAGACAGAGGTTGGCCAGAGTGGAAAGAAGGGGTGATGGAAGTTGGAAGAAGAAGAATACAAGAGATTCGAGTTCTGATGAAAGTGAAGATGGAGACAGCGATGAAGATTTGGAGATTAAAGGTGCTTCATATTCAAGAGGATTTTATCCTACAATGACTAGCACAGAAGAAATAGAAAAATATATAGATCGATGCATATCATGCTTGGATAAGGCAAATAATTTAGAAGAAGTAAGAGAACTGGAAGAACAACTCAAGAAGCTGAAGATACAGAAGAAAAAACTGCTGAAAAAAGGATCCCAAGGATTGGAGAAGAGGTATACATTGAGGCCAAGACAAGGGAGCACAAGTAAGAAGATGATGCCAGTGATAATTCGAGGACAGAACCTGGAGTATAAGCCTTTGTAGAATACTGATATGTCAGATATACTTGAGAAGCTGCCTACTCTTCAAGATGGAGCATATCCTTGGATTTCAAAGTTGGAAGAAATTACGGTGGGAACACAGTCTGCCATAGGAGACATTAAGAGACTTTTGGCTAATCTCCTTGGGATTCCAGGTATGGAAGACATTTTTCAGAGAGCTGGACTTAATCGATATATGGGGACTGCGGTGAATGACCTGATTTGTTAGCTGCAAGTAGAAATAGGCTGTGGAGAGCACTGAAAGATACGTTTCCAACAAATGTGCATCCTGACAACATTCTGATTGACTCACTAGGACAACAAGAAAATCCGAGAGCCTATGTGTCAAGAGTTCATCAAGTGTGGAGAAATATTACCGGAAATGATCCCGATGTGAGTCAAATTGAGCAGTCAATTTTGAGAGCTAAACTACAGATGGGACTGCCCTCACCAGTAAGGAGCAAACTGGCAGAGGTGGTTGGACTTGGAAGCATGACAAAAGGTGTTTATACAGATCATATAGCCCATCAAGTGGATATGTACCGGAAAAAGGAACACAACCAGAAAGAACAGGACCAAGAAACTCTCAGAAAACTCAATGAAATACAACTGGTGGAGAATAAGAAGGAGAAGAAACAAGCTTTGGTTATGCAGAATCAGTGTGCACCAAATCAACAATCACTGCCACAGCTTCAACCGAACCAGTTCCAACCGCAATTGTACCAGCCACCAATAGCAGTACCAGTTGTTTCATATCCACAGCCAGTTTCTGGACAGACACAGAATTGGAGAGGAAGAGGACGAGAAGGCTTAGGAAGAGGAAGAGGAGGAAGATTTAAGCCATAGTTCCAGCAATCTTCAGAAGTGTGTTATAATTGTGGACAGGTTGGTCACTTTGCCCGTGAGTGTAATGGGCCAGGAGGAAATACCAGAGGAAATTTCAGAGGAAGATACAGGGGCCAGTCAAGATCATCTGGAGGACCGGTGAACCCTTATAGGGGCCCGGAGCAAGGATTCTAGAGGTGCCCAGAAGATCCGAAAGGGGGGTGTCAGCTGGTAGCATCAGGACCGGAAAAAGATCCAACAATTGAGGTGAAAGTAAACAAACGACCATTGGAAGTGATGGCGGATAGCGGAGCTGCTTTTACCTGTGTTCGGCCTGAAGATGCTACACATCTCCCTATGTCCAATCAACTAATTAGGACAATCGGATTTGAGGGAGTGAAACAGCTGATTCCTCTTACGGAACCATGAGCTCTGCTATGAAAATCAGAAAATTACAATACCCATACTGGTATCGGAACATATACCTATCGCATTGTTGGGAAGAGATGCATTGTGTAAATTGAACTGTACAATAAAATGTACACCAGACGGCTGTCTGGTAGAAGTGCCAAAGGAAAAGGTTTACCAATTGTTGATGACGACAGAGATGGATTCTTCTTCAGTATTCTGGATTGGAAATCTCAGTGAAGATTTTTTGAAGCAGGCTAAGATATGGGAGAAATTCATTGTGGCAAATATGCCAGATGCGAGGCTTCCGGAATATCCATTTCATTGTACGCTCAAGTATTTCAAGAATGCTGCCCAATCGAACTCAGAGGAATGGTTGAGTCATCAACCAAAGAAAGTTCAACTCAGCTCATGTTGCATAATTTTAGGACCACAAGCAGCAGCTATGAAGATAAACACAGACGATTATCTGGATAAAGAATTTGAGATTGAGAAGAGTGTGCCACATATGACCTTGTTGGTTTCTGAAGGCTATGAGCAGAAGCAAATAGGAGAAATGATGACAGAAGCAGAGAAAGCTGTTTTCGTACCAATGAAAGAGAATTTGGCGATTTGGAGGAGTGAAGATCAGCGATTTCTCAAAATCATGATTTCGGCTCAAGGACAAGGAGAGCCACAAGCTGTACGGATGACACATTAATCTATTTGCAGTGCGAAGATTGATTCAGACCCTATGAAAGAGGAGATGTTGCAACAAGTTCCAGAATGTTTGTGGTCTCAACACAGTACTGATATTGGACTTGTGAAATCAGCCCAACCGGTGAAAGTTGAACTTCGACCAGGAGCAAGACCTCCTTGGAAGAATCAGTATCCATTGAAAGATGAAGCAATCCAAGGGATTGAACCACAAATTGAAGGACTTTCGAAAACAGGTGTTTTGAAAAAAATAAAAAGAATCATCAGAGTAACAATCCTTTGTGGTCTTTGGAGAAACCATGAGGGGTTGATAGTAGCACCTCTAGACCTATTAGGTCTGATGATTCAGGAAGCACATGGGTTAGCTCATGTTGCAAGGGGGGAGGTTAGGAGAAAGATCACAAAGGAGTATGGTTTTTGGGCACCATATTTGCTTTAACAGGTTGACTATGTCATAGGCAGGTGCACAATCTGTCTGAAAAATAATGTTCGCAGGGGTGTGACTGTTCTTCCTGGTCACATTCCTACACAGAGAGGTCCTATGCGTGAGTTGGTTATCGACTTTGTTGATGTGATAAAATCAGTTAATGGGAAAAGATACATGTTGGTGGTTGTAGATAGATTTTCACGATGGCTGGAGGCCTGTCCAACTAAGCGAAAAGATGCTCAGTCGGTTGCTAGGTTCTTGTGTAAAGAAGTCATAAGCAGGTGGGGACTTCCCGATCAAATATCCTCAAATTAGTGGGAGAGAGTTTTGTGGATAAATCAGTGAAAGGGTTTTTGAAAAAATTGGGGAAAAGTCAGAAAAAAAATTAGAAAAAAATTAGTTATGAAAACGAGGGTTGAAATAACTCTAGGAAATTTTGAACATCTGATTGTGGGATAATCATATTATTGTGATATTTAGTATTTTCTTATGAATCAAAGGGGGGAAATGGAATGTGATTCATTTTATATATCATTTTTATATTATTGTTGATATTGATGTTTTAATTTGCATGTGTTGCTTTGAAAAAGATACTGGTTGGTGTTTTCTTTTCTTCCAGAAGTATATGGGGAATGTGTAGAGTGGGATTCAAATACTCAAACATGGACAATATGAATGGACTGGAGGAAGTAGAACAAGGACGGTGTGGAAATGTTCAGATTCCATCATCGACGTTGCATTGAAAGTCGACACTGTGGAGGAGCTGCAGTGTAGTGGACTACATTCCAGTGTTATATTCTTTCTGTATTAATTATTGAAGAATGATGTTTTCTGTTGTTGGATGCATGTGGGGACCTCAGATGTTTTTGTTTATTTCGTTGAAGCTTAGGGATATTGGGTCTAGGCAGGGACAGAGAGAATCCACAGGAGGGTCCGATGGGTCGACCAGCCTGAATGTGGACATTTTTGATTGTATTTTGTTTTCTGAGGTTTTCATGTGTATTCAATTGAATCATAGCTTAAAATGCATTGATAAAGATTTATGAATTGATCTGGAGTACTTAGGTGGTCGCCTGGGGCAGAGGGGCCGTGAGAGAATTTTCCTGTCTTGATTGATTGATGGATATTTGGAATGAAAGCTGTCAGACAGGTTTTTCGCTCTTACACTCCATAACAATTTATTTACACTCCATAACAATTTATTTACATTCCATAACAATTTATTTACACTCCATAACAATTTATTTACACTCCATACAAAAATGTGTCTATATAAAAATGTGTTTACTCTCCATACATTTTGGTTTATTGCTAAAGTTACTCAAGAACAAAAATAGTTATTTGTCATAATCCTATTATTTTTGTTTTCAAGACTTAATTAGTCTCGAAGGGGGGAAATATGTAGTATCTGAAAGTCTATGATTTTGCTGACGTTTGCAAATGGTGTGATAGATGAACTTTACTCTGCTTTGCTGAAACATCTGGAAAGCATTACTACATAGGCTTCTTGGAATAGAGGACATTTGGAGATATGTGGAGGCCAGGGATTGGTCTATCAAAAACCACCCATCTTATGTTACATAGGATATAAATACCATGTTTTGAACAATGGACGGGGGAATAACATATTAGAGATTGGGTCAGTTGTTCTCCGGATTTCTGCAGGAGTCTGTAAATTGATACTGTAATCTTTGATGTAATAAACAATTATAATCAAGGACAGTGTCAGCGGATTTCTTGTCATCACAGCATATCAGCATCGTTGTCTTGACACCACACTATGATTTGTAACAATTTTTGATGTATGTAATGTGAAGTATTATTCAGTATTATTCATTCATTATTCTACTATTTCATGTATTTTTATTCATTTGTTTTTGTTTATCTCATGATTGATTGTACATATGCTATCAGATTGCAGGGTGGGGGGTGGGAGTTTTTAAATATATGAATAGAAATAATGAAAACGTAATGCGAAAATAAATATTACATTCATTTGTATATATCCAATGTATACCAAAGGAATCAGAGTAAAGTTGGTCCCTGTTTCAGTCAAGTCTTTGGTCACTTTCACGTGAGTCAAACAAAAACACCCTAATGATTGGTTGACAATGGATCCTACCACAATGCAGGTGATGGCTGCAGGATGAAGTTCGTGAAGAGAAACTGCAGAAACGTGCACTTGACTGCAGTCAAAACATCATAACCTTTGATCACATGGTTTTTGTAAAGTTCATGCAGTCGACATGTAGGCACAAGTCTGAAAATGTTTATCCCCATAATGCAACACACGTTGAAAGGCAGTGACCAACGATGGTCACCGACTTGCAGTGGTGGAAAAAGTACCCAATTGTCATACTTGAGTAAAAGTAAAGATATGTTAATAGAAAATGACTCAAGTAAAAGTGAAAGTCACCCAGTAAAATACAACTTGAGTAAAAGTCTAAAAGTATTTGGTTTTAAATATACTTAAGTATCAAAAGTAAATGTAATTGATAAAATTTACTTAAGTATCAAAAGTAAATGTACAAGTATAACTCATTTCAAATTCCTTATATTAAGCAAACCAGACGGCACCATTTTCTTGTTTTTTTTTTTATTTACGGATAGCCAGGGGCACACTCAAACATTCAGACATAATTTACAAACAAAGCATTTGTGTTTAGTGAGTCCACCAGATCAGAGGCAGTAGATGACCAGGGATGTTTCTCTGAATTGTGCGTGAATTGGACCATTTTCCTGTCCTGCTAAGCATTCAAAATGTAACGAGTACTTTTAGGTGTCAGGGAAAATGTATGGAGTAAAAAGTACAGTATTTTCTTTAGGAATGAAGTATAAGTAAAAGTTGTCAAAAATTAAAATAGTAAAGTACAGATACCAAAAAAAACTACTTAAGTAGTACTTGAAAGTATTTTTACTTAAGTCCTTTAAACCACTGCCGACTTGACAAAACTGATCCACTCGAACGCACCCATTTTCATAGGGTTTTCCTATGGGGACAATTAAATAACCCTTTATGGTTCTAGGTAGTACCTTCTTTTCTAAGAGTGTATACATTTAATGTTGTTATGTTATGAGTTGACACTGACCTGTTGTAGATGTTGTAGAACCAGTCCAGCATAGAGTAGACGTCAGTGATCTGAAGCTGGGAGCTGGTAATGATTTTCAGGCGTCGGGCCACCGCCCGGTGGTAGCTCTGTACATACACCTGGAAGGCCTGGAACTCCTCCGGGTAGACCGACACCACGTTCCTCCGTGCTGCATCCAGGTCGTCCACCATGCGTCCCTTTAACCTCTCCAGGTAAGAGGCTAGCTGCCCCGCCTGAGTGTCCACCTGCTGGGGCAGGCTCCAGTCTGCCGCCTCCGCCACCGCCTGCCGCCATTTCAGCTTGAGCTGACGGGGTCGTTGGCTATGATGGGGCAGGAGGCCCTCCCTTAGGGGCTGGGTCTGGGTCTCCTCTCTCTGGGCCTGGGCAGTGTCAGCCTGCTCCTCCTGCTGAATGACCAGCACCACTAGTCCCAGGTTGGGCCCGGCCGTGGGCTGGCGGAGGGATTCCCTCACCACGTCCCACATCTCCTTCTGCAGGGCCTCATACAGCAGCTCCACATCCTTAGCCTTGCGCCTGCTGGCGTTCCGTGAAGCATTGGGGCTGGAAGGGTTGTCGAAGGACCCGGGAGGGGTCACTCCGGGAGGCGTCAACGGAGGAGTGGGGGGGTGGGGCAGGAAGGCCAGCAGCTCGCACTCGTGCTCCAACTCCTGGATGTGTGTGTCGGCCAGGAGGAGGTCCCTCTGATTGACCAGCTGTAGGATCTCCAGCACTGAGGGAAGGAGAGATAGAGGAATCCCTTTCATACTGTTTAGTCTATTGGTTTGTACAGAGTATTACCGTGTGGGTAGGAACGGGTAGGGTAAGTGAGGAGAAAAAGTACATGTTTTCATCAGGCTATATTGTGTGTAAAATATCAACATTGACATATTGAAGGGTGCTGATACTGTATGTGTGATATTAAGTGTCTCTCGACCTGGCCTTTTGGATTGTTGTGGGCATGCTATGTACTACACTGTCCTTTGACTGTCCCTTGTCTGCATTGCTCCCTACGGAGCTCTGCGAACAGTAGCTCTGGATGAAGTTTTATCTGAAGGGATCAGCAGTGAGAGGAAGTGCGGTCATTTCCTGCTTTCACAGTCTGGTGCTGATTGAACCCGATGACTGAGGGGATCTGGGGACTGCTCACAGCTCATCAGAGAGCAGCGTGGGATTGGGGGAGGAAGTGCTGCAGGAGCTGACCAGGAAGTTCCTAAGGTTCCGACTTAATAGACTGAAGTGAGGTGGGACTCGTAATGTGAACACTGAAACGTAAAACACTGACTGACATGCCACGGACAGAGGTAACCTGCACTGACCCTTACATGATTCAGAGGTTTCAGATTATGTGCCCTGTGATTGGCTGGACGAGCAGAACACATACCAGATCTTCCCTCTTGATTGGTTTGTTTTGGAGTGCCTTGTATACCTGAGAGTGGTTCCCTGGGTTTGACCACTGGCTCTTCCTCCTCCAGCTCCTCCTCGGCCTCCTGGGAGTTGTGGTCCGACAGGGACTCCCTCTTCAGTTTGCCAAGGCTGACCATCCTGAGGAAGGAGGACCGGCGGCGAGACTCGGCCTCACTGTCGACGCCCAGGTCCCCGCAGGGCAGGCTTTCTCTACGCTGTGTCTGCTTCCGCCGCCCTGCAAATCTACAAGCAGAAGAGAACCATCAGGAGAGGATAGGAACTATATTATGTCTCGTTACACTGTCAACCTCAGAGTATGGCATTGAAGAGGGAGAAGAGCCAAGTGTGGATTCCCAGAGTCAGAGATATTATGTGGAAATTAAGGTTCCATCTCAAAAATAAAGGGGATGGGATACATAAGTGTTATCAAATACTGTAAGGTTCAATGCTAACAGGTGACTACCATATCCAGACTAGACATCATATGCTATAAATAAGCAGTTATTTAAATGCTTGAGAGGTGATTGTAGCTCTCGGCCAGGGATGGGCAACTGGGGGCCGCAGCCCCCCTTTTGAAGGCCTTCAGATCAATTTCCCAGGAACTCAGTCAGGGTCTCAACTTACTGTTGCGAGTTAGAATAGTACAACACAAGGTGCAATTTCGACATTTGGTTGTGCATCAGCAGTTTTTCTCGTTATGTCAGTCACTGATAGTCAGTCAATTGGCCCATGTCAGCTAACAACTTTGGGAGGAGGTATGGATGTGGCTACGCAGACCTGCGAGAAACTGATGAGTTCAGATTCTTGTGGCCCCCACCCCCATCAAAGTTGCCCATTCCTGCTCTAAGCAATCCAGATTGGAATTTTTGATGGCTGGCTTTCCCTGGCTGCAGCAGTTAAAGTGAAAAAAATGTCCCGGTTATAAATAGTGCCATTCACTCAGTGCTTAGGTACACAAGATAGCATTAGCAAAAAAAGCAGTTCCATACATAACTCATGGTGAATTTTTACATTACATAACCAATTAGGAAATGATTATGCTATATGCTGTGAGCATTTCCGTCATTTCGTTACAGCTTCATAGGGAGTCACAGTGCTACCCGGTAACAGGAAAATCTTAAAAATTAGTGGGATTGGATTGCCAAGCAAATCAGTAATTAATGGAACACAATCAAAGCTCTTTGGTCTCTACAAAATAGTTTCTAACTTAGTCATATAGTGCCTATAGAAAGTCTACACCCCCTTGAACTTTTTTCACATTTTGCTACCTTCAAATGTTATCTAAAAATGGATTACATTTGTTTTTTTTATGGGTATGCTTGTCATTGGCAGGGACTGGGGAGTCTGTCAGGATCAAAATAAATAGCAAAGCCCAGGTAAAAAGTTAGAGGAAAACCCGCCTCAGTCTTTTGAAAACCCAACCCTGGGATAGTCTTATTTTTCAGAGAGACAATTACACAAATGTTTATGCCAAAACACACTAGAATAGCTTTCCAAGAGGTGTTGAGTGCTCCTGAGTGGTTTAGTCACAGTCCTGACTTAAAATTGCTTGAAAATCAGAAACAAGGTTTCAATATTGCTGTTCATCAATGATTCCCAACCAAACTAAATGAGCTTGAGCAATATTGGCAAAACAATGGATATATGCTGCCCTAAGAGCTGTGCAAAGTTGGTAGAATCTTGTTCCAAATGATTCACAGCTGTAATGGCTGCCAAAAGTTGCTTCCACCAACTATTAACTCTGGGGTGTGCAGACAATCAAGACATATTTGTAAAAAAAAAGATATATAATAATAATTTGGAAAAATGTCTAACTTTCTTTGACTTTGAAAATGTGGACTAGGTTGTGTAGATCTGCAGGGGGAAAAAATCTAATTTAATCCCTTTTTGATTACAGTTGAAGGCAGCAAAACGTGAAAAAAGGTCCAAGGGGGTGTAGACTTTCTATAGGCACATACAGTGAGGGAAAAAAGTATTTGATCCCCTGCTGATTTTGTACGTTTGTCCACTGACAAATAAATGATCAGTCTATAATTTTAATGGTAGGTTTATTTGAACAGTGAGAGACAGAATAACAACAAAAAAATCCAGAAAAAATGTTATAAATTGATTTGCATTTTAATGAGGGAAATAAGTATTTGACCCCCTCTCAATCAGAAAGATTTCTGGCTCCCAGGTGTCTTTTATACAGGTAACGAGCTGAGATTAGGAGCACACTCTTAAAGGGAGTGCTCCTAATCTCAGCTTGTTACCTGTGAAAAAAGACACCTGTCCACAGAAGCAATCAATCAATCAGATTCCAAACTCTCCACCATGGCCAAGACCAAAGAGCTCTCCAAAGATGTCAGGGACAAGATTGTAGACCTACACAAGGCTGGAATGGGCTACAAGACCATCGCCAAGCAGCTTGGTGAGAAGGTGAAAACAGTTGGTGCGATTATTCGCAAATGGAAGAAACACAAAATAACTGTCAATCTCCCTCGGCCTGGGGCTCCATGCAAGATCTCACCTCGTGGAGTTGCAATGATCATGAGAACGGTGAGGAATCAGCCCAGAACTACACGGGAGGATCTTGTCAATGATCTCAAGGCAGCTGGGACCATAGTCACCAAGAAAACAATTGGTAACACACTACGCCGTGAAGGACTGAAATCCTGCAGCGCCCGCAAGGTCCCCCTGCTCAAGAAAGCACATATACAGTGAGCTCCATAATTCATTGGACAGTGACCATGTTTTTGTTATTTTGGTTCTGTACTCTAGCACTTTGAGTTTGAAAGGATACAATGACAATGAGGGTGGAGTGTAGACTGTCAGCTTTAATTTGAGGGTATTTTCATACATATCGGATGAACCGTTTAGAAATTATAGAAGCTTTTGTACCTTTTTCGGGCATCAAAAAACATTGGACAGTTTAACATAATGTAGAATAAAGTAATCATTGTTAATATTTGGTCGCATATCCTTTGCATGCAATGACTGCTTGAAGTCTGCGATGCATTGACATCACCAGACGCTGGGTATCTTCCCTGGTGATGCTCTGCCAGGCCTGTACTGCAGCCATCTTCAGTTCCTGCTTATTTTGGGGACTTATTGCCTTCAGTCTCCTCTTCAGCATGTAAAATGCATGTTCAATTGGATTCAGATCCGGTGATTGACTCGGCCAGTTAAGGATTTTCCACTTTTTGGCCATCAAAAACCCATTTGTTGCTCTAGCAGTATGTTTAGGGTCATTGTCTTGTTGCATGATGAAGTGCCGTCCAATGAGTTTGGAGGCATTTGGTTTTATCTGAGCAGATAAAATATTTCTGTTTCATTGTTCTACTTCTGTCTGCAGTCACATCATCGATAAAGACAAGTGAGCCTGTTCCACTGGCAGCCATACAGGCCCGAGCCATAACACCCCCTCCACGGATGAGGTGGTATGCTTTGGATCATGGGAATTTCTTTTTTTTCTCCACACTTTCCTCTTTCCATCCCTCTGGTACATGTTAATCTTTGTCACATCTGTCCACAATACTTTTTTTCAGAACTCTTGGGGCTCTTTTAGGTGCTTTTTAGCAAACTGTAATCTCGCCTTTCTGTTCTTCAGGCTTATCAGTGGTTTGCATCTTGTAGTGTACCCTCTGTAGTCCTGCTGGTGTAGTCTTCTACGTATGGTAGACTTTGACACATCTACACCTGCATCCAGGAGAGTGTTTTTGATCTGTTGGGCTGTTGTCAGGGGGGTTTTCTTCACCATAGAGAGTTTTCTCCGGTCATCCACTACAGTGGTCTTCCTCAGTCTACCGGGTCTTTTGACATAATTGAGTTCACCGGTTGTTTTTTTCTTGTTAATGATGAACCAAACTGTTGACTTGGGCATGGCCAGGATTTTTGCAATGTTCCTGATTGATTGATTTTCATTTCTGAGCCTTATGACGGCCAGCTTCATTTGCATCGACACTGCTGTCTTCCTCATGTTGTCACACCCCAACAACAACCTCCAAAGGCAATAGCAAAGTCTAGAATCAATACTATTCATCAACAGCTCTCCTGCATTCACTAACGACACAAATTAATACACCTGCCTAATGACACACATCTGTGAAGCCAATTTAACAAATACTTGTAGTACCTTAAAATGGGGGACCATGTACAAAAGGTGCTGTCATTTCTAAATGATTCATCCGATATGTATGAAAATACCATTAAATTAAAGCTGACAGTCTGCACCTCACCCTCATTGTCATTTTATCCTTTCAAACTCAAAGTGCTAGAGTACAGAACTAAAATAACAAAAAAATGGTTACTGTCCAATGAATTATGGAGCTCACTGTACATGCCCGTCTGAAGTATGCCAATGAACATCTGACTGATTCAGAGGAGAACTGGGTAAAAGTGTTGTGGTCAGATGAGACCAAAATGGAGCTCTTTGGCATCAACTCAACTTGCCCTGTTTGGAGGAGGAGGAATGCTGCCTATGACCCCAAGAACACCATCCCCACCGTCAAACATGGAGGTGGAAACATTATGCTTTGGGGGTGTTTTTCTGCTAAGGGGACAGGACAACTTCACCGCATCAAAGGGACGATGGACGGGGCCATGTACCGTCAAATCTTGGGTGAGAACCTCCTTCCCTCAGCCAGGGCATTGAAAATGGGCCGTGGATGGGTATTCCAGCATGACAATGACCCAAAACACACGGCCAAGGCAACAAAGGAGTGGCTCAAGAAGAAGCACATTAAGGTCCTGGAGTGGCCTAGCCAGTCTCCAGACCTTAATCCCATAGAAAATCTGTGGAGGGAGCTGAAGGTTCGAGTTGCCAAACGTCAGCCTCGAAACCTTAATGACTTGGAGAAGATCTGCAAAGAGGAGTGGGACAAAATCCCTCCTGAGATGTGTGCAAACCTGGTGGCCTACTACAAGAAACGTCTGACCTCTGTGATTGCCAACAAGGGTTTTGCCACCAAGTACTAAGTCATATTTTGCAGAGGGGTCAAATACTTATTTCCCTCATTAAAATGCAAATCAATTTATAACACTTTTGACATGTGTTTTTCTGGATTTTTTGTTGTTGTTATTCTGTCTCTCACTATTCAAATAAACCTACCATTACAATTATAGACTGATCATTTCTTTGTCAGTGGGCAAACGTACAAAATCAGCAGGGGATCAAATACTTTTTTCCCTCACTGTATAGAGATTACATTTATGTTAATCTGTGGCTCTGGGCCCGTATTTATAAAGTGTTTCAGAGTGGAAATGGTCCTCCCTGTCCATGCTATCTTTTTCATTTTGATCTAAATGGCATCTGATCTTAGATCAGCATGCCTCCTCCCCCTTACCGGAGCAGGGTCATGATATCCTCTGAGCTCCTGCGGAGGCCCTTCCTCTTCTCTTTCTCTGGCGGGGGCGAGTGGGGGTCCGTGGGACTTCGCAGGGACGGGCTGGTCCCCCACACGCTGCACCCCGACATACGCAGCCCCTTCCCCAGCTTCCCCAGGGTCTTCAGGGGCGAAGAGCCGCATAACCGCTCCAGAGTCCCCCTCAGGGGCCTTCCTCCTCCTCCTTTAGGGGCCCCGGGGCCGTGCCTCTCCATGTTCACCTCATTCTCCTCCTCTTCCCCATCACGCGACAACCTGCACTGGAGGGGTTTTGCTCCCCGGCCCCCCAAAATGGGGGGGTCGCCCTCATTCCTCTCCTCCTCCAGGTCCACCTCCTCGAAGGGACTCAGGTCCAAGTTTAACCTGGGCAGGATGAGTTCACTGTTCCCATGGTTATTCCTGGTCCTCCCTGGAAGGTTCTTAAGGATAGGCATGATGCTTGCGCTCAGGGATCAAATACTGCAAGGACACAAGGCGACTTAGTTAGAACAGAGAAAGAGATCACAGATCATTTGAACAAGCTAGTTAGGCTAGCAATACCAAGAGCTCAATAGGAGTGTGGGATGGAAATGGTTGAACAGAAAATGTCAGCTAAAACCAGAATGAATGAGAGAGTAATGTTGTAATTGAGGACCTACAGAATATTCTAATAGCATAAGAACCGTTGCAATGATACTATTCTGTATAAGCTTTACTCAGAGATTAAATACAAACACAGGCGATTACCCAGCAGCTTTCTCAAGTTACTGACAGTACAACGTGTTAACCTATACATTACATAATGACACTTGCAATAGAACGAGAAACATCTGTACAGTACATTGCGTTCATCCACCTCTGGCCTGCTGGCTCCCCTTCCTCTGCGGAAGCATAGCTCCCGCTCAGCCCAGTCAAAACTGTTCGCTGCTCTGGCACCCCAATGGTGGAACAAGCTCCCTCACGACGCCAGGACAGCGGAGTCACTCACCACCTTCCGGAGACATTTGAAACCCCACCTCTTTAAGGAATACCTGGGATAGGATAAAGTGTTCCTTCTAACCCCCCCCCCCCCCCCCCCCCCCCCCCCCCCCCCCAATTGTAAAGTGGTTATCCCACTGGCTATAGGGTGAACGCACCAATTTGCGAGTCGCTCTGGCTAAGAGCGTCTGCTAAATGACGTTAATGTGCCCTTGAGCAAGGCACTTAACCCTAATTGCTCCTGTAAGTCGCTCTGGATAAGAGCGTCTGCTAAATGACTAAAATGTAAATGTAAATGTAAATGTACATTCACAACCACCTGTTTAACCCATGTACGTGAAATCTTCAATTGTTTTAGGTTCCTGTATGTCTGTAGAGAGCATTGGTTCAATGTTACATATAGTTCTCAGAATGAATGTTTGTTTGAACTCACTTGCCCTCCACCTACGTATGAGGACAGACAAATAGGTGACTATGTGTCGAAGTCCTGCTGAAACTGAGGCTGTACTAAGGACACCGTAGACCACCACACATGCTTTGTACTGTAGCGCCTAAGTTGGGCATGGTTACATTCATACAGTGCATTCGGAAAGTATTCAGACCCCTTCACTTTTTCCACATTTTGTTACGTTACAGCCTTATTTTAAAATTGATTAAATAATTTTTTCCCTCATCAATCTACACACAATAGAAATACCTTATTTACATAAGTATTCAGACCCTTTGCTATGAGACTCGAAATTGAGCTCAGGTGCATCCTGTTTCCATTGATCATTCTTGAGATGTTTCTACAACTTCATTGGAGTCCACCTGTGCTAAATTCAATTGATTGGATATGATTTGTAAAGGTACACACCTGTCTATATAAGGTCCCACAGTTGACAGTGCATGTCAGAGAAAAAACCGAGCCATGAGGTCGAAGGAATTGTCCATAGAGCTCCGAGACAGGATTGTGTCGAGGCACAGATCTGGGGAAGGGTACCAAAACATTTCTGCAGCATTGAAGGTCCCCAAGAATACATTTGGAACCACCAAGACTGAGTAATCGGGAGAGAAGTGCCTCGGTCAGGGCGGTGACCAAGAACCCGATGGTCACTCTGACAGAGCTCCAGAGTTCCTCCGTGGAGATTGGAGAACCTTCCAGGAGGACAACCATCTCTGCAGCACTCCAACAATCAGGCCTTTATGTTAGTGGCCAGACGGAAGCCACTCCTCAGTAAAAGGCACATGACAGCCCGCTTAGAGTTTGCCAAAAAGCACCTAAAGAACTTTCAGACCATGAGAAACAAGATTCTCTGGTCTGATGAAAGCAAGATTGAACTATTTGGCCTCAATGCCAAGCATCACATCTGGAGGAAACCTGGCACCATCCCTATGGTGAAGTATGGTGGTGGCAGCATCATGCTGTGGAGATGATTTTCAGCTGCAGGGACTGGGAGACTAGTCAGGATCGAGGGAAAGATGAACGGAGCAAAGTACAGAGACATCCTTGATGAAAACCTGCTCCAGAGCGCTCAGGACCTCAGACTGGAGTGAAGGTTCACCTTCCAACAGGACAATGACCCTAAGCACACAGCCAAGACAACGCAGGAGTGGCTTCGGGACAAGTCTCTGAATGTCCTTGAGTGGCCCAGCCAGAGCCCGGACATGAACCCGATTGAACATCTCTGGAGAGACCTGAAAATAGCTGTGCAGCAACGCTCCCCATCCAACCTGACAGAGCTTGAGAGGATCTGCAGAGAAGAATGGGAGAAACTCACCAAACACAGGTGTTTCCAAGCTTGTAGCGTCATAGCCAAGAAGACTCGAGGCTGTAATCGCTGCCAAAGGTGCTTCAACAAAGTACTGAGTAAAGGGTCTGAATACTTATATAAATGTGATTTTTCAGTTTATGTTTTTTTATACATTTGCTAAAATTTCTAAAAACATGTTTTTGCTTTGTCATTATGGGGTATTGTGTGTAGATTGACGAGGGAAAAAAATAATTTAATCAATTTTAGAATAAGGCTGTAACGTAACAAAATGTGGGAAAAGTGCAGGGGTCTGAATACTTTCCGTATGCACTGGTATACTAGAAATTAAATTAATAGAAATAGAAATGATTAATAGTTATTTCAGAATTACAATAACTATTTGGACATGTTTATTTGGAGGATTCCAAAATATCATTTTCAATTTTCTGTGACAATGCTCAGTTCAAATCTAAACCGTAGGGTACTAGGGAGTAACTAGCCCCCCTCCTCAGAACAATGTCTAATTACTGACACAAAAAAGCAATGTTTGGGGAAAAAAAATTATGTGGATGAAGGTCATGCTTAGGCAAATAAATTATAAAGGTAAATAAATAGCTACAGTTTACACTTTTTTAGTTATTTCATGAAATGTTGTTTTTAGAAAAGGGGCGTTTTTTTCCTTAAAGTACCGGGGTAACTGGCCCACCCCTATGGGGTAACTGGCCCCCGGTGGTGCCAGTTACCCCGGTAGAAGATTATGGCATAGGGTTTCACACAAGTGTGTTAAAATCCATTTAATCAGTTTTATTTTGAAATTCTTTATTAAGTAATACTAAAAAGCTTAGTCTAGTTGTCTTATTTTAATTATTTAATAAAATATTGGGGGGTGGGGGGGGGGTGTTGTACATGTCACCGTTAATATCCGCACTATGAGGAGATTTAATGTAAAGTCCCTTTTTTTTATCTCACCTGCACATACATTTTCTTTGTTGTTCCTTTTCCATACAATCCATTATGTACAATTGCACTAAATATTATTTGAATAATGCAAGATTTTAAATCCCAGCAGTCTTTAAAATGACATTCAGGAGCAAAGGGCTTTCAATAGTTGTTTTTAATATTGGAATATAATATTGGAATGGAATATAACTAATAACATTTAATAACAATAACTTAACTAATTAACTCAGTGAAACATTGATTTGACAACTCTCTTATGCTCTGCTATTGCACGATTCTATTTGTACATAGGTCACAAATAAAGCTATCCCCATTAAAATTGGAGCACAACTCATGAGCCCACCTCCTGCACTGCTCACACCTAATCCAGTCCCCCCACCTGTGACTGAAAACAGGGGGAGAGATGCCAATTGAAAAGCTCTCTTAAAAACGTAGCTAGTTATCCAGCAATATGACATAAAATGCTGTGTAAAATAGCTTAAAGGCTATAAAGTAACATTAACTGTAAAGTTATCAGTCACTAGTGGAAACATTTACAACTGCAATTAAGTTACGTTATATTTTTTATGTATTTTACCTCAGATGATCTGGTAGTAAGGTTGCTAGCTAGCACTCCTAGCAGCTTATGCTAACTAGCTAGCTGGCTAGCATTTACTGCTACTGAAGTTGCTAGCTAGCAAGTTAGCATAAACTAGCGCAAACTGGGCTAGTCATTGTCTAAATGATAGGTAGAAACACATTCATAACCATAAAGGGGTAACTAGCCCCCAGGGGCCAGTTACTCCCTAGTAGGGGAGTAACATATTACTACTTTACTCAAAATGTATCTACATTTTTCTCTCTAAACAAGTGGATTATTTATCTCAAGTGGATTATTTATCTCTTAATATTCCTACTGGTATATTAAAAAAACTATTATAGATCTAACTTCATTGGAATATATCTACAAGGAGGGGGGGCAGTTACCCCAGGGGGCTAGTTACCACCTAGTATCCTAATTGTTTTTAGTAAATATGAATGTGTTTCGAAGGAACGCTGTGTATATTTGTCTGACAATAGCCACGTGTTAAACCACCCACTAACATCTCAGTTCAGAACCAAATAAACATGTATGGATGTTGGATTGTGTTGAGGCCAATGTTCAGCTGGTGCAGACACATAGAACAACAACACTATGAGCAGGAGGTTCATTTCTAAACAAACACTGAACATTCCGCTCCCAAACGGCTTAGAAATTAACAGGAAATAAAAGTGGTGTCTGTCTGTGGCTGGCAACATTATTTTGTTTCACTAAAGCACTTAAGTATTTAAACAACTTGATATAAGATTGGTCTTGAATCACTTAAAATTCCTCCCTAAATTGATTGGGTCAAGTGGTTTTAGTGCCTGGCTGCCTGGGACACTAGTTTGCTGACACTGCATGTAATTACACTAAGTACTGTAGCCTACTAACCCAAATACCAACATGTTTCAAGCAGACCACCATAGTCCCTGTGCCCAAGAACACCAGGTAACCTGCCTAAATGACTACCGACCCCTAGCACTCACGTCTGTAGCCATGAAGTGCTTTGAAAGGCTGGTCATGGCTCACATTCAACACTATTATCCCAGAAACCCTAGACACACTCCAATTTGAAAACCGCCCCAACAGATCCACAGATGACGCAATCTCTATTGCACTCCACACTGCCCTTTCCCACCTGGACAAAAGGAACACCTACGTGAGAATGCTATTCATTGACTACAGCTCAGCATTCAACACCATAGTGCTGTCAAAGTTCATC